TAGTCAGTGTTAGTTTCCTGAAATAATTTTAGTTAAGAACTTTTTTGAGTCTGGGCAAGACAATTTTTTTAAGTGAGTGTATGATGAACAAGAATAATGATTTTTCACATGAAACTAATGAAGGCAAATACTAAATATATTTCGTAAAAATAGCTAACGTAAATTCCCCACAACAATGTTGTTGCGGCGGTGTACATTTGTAGAAATTTTGCCACCGTCGCGATATTGCCTATTCTCAAAAAATTACGTAATATAATTATTTTGAAACAGAATAGCAAAATGGGGAGAAAAAACCCGCTTTGCAACATTTTCGTATCTTGTTGCAACGAAATTAATTTTCTGTTTTAGTGAATATTTACATAAAAATACAAGTTGAAACGCGTTACTTCCTTGTGGAATGTGATGTTAGTGTGTATTTTATATTTGTCTGATCTATTTTTAAACCCAATTACCGCACATTTCATCATTTTTAGCAACAATTTTTGAGCTGCTCGCGGTGCAACTTGACCTTGAGCACTGACAGCCCGCTCGCTCGTATAAGCCCGTCCTACAATTTGCCTCACTTAGCGTGTGCGGGCTAGGTTTCTATGCGTTATTATTCTAAGGTTATAGCATTTTACTACAAATGCATACTGCCCTCGGAACGAAAAAAGGCACAACTGTCGTGTAAAGTACGCATAGTTATGTCTTCTTTCGTTACGAAGGCAGCATTATAGTTAAGAGTTACTGAAGCAATGCGACAAAGAAGAGGCAACGACCGGCACACTGACCGACATGTGGGCGCCAAAGTTGATCATCTTATAGTGCGTAGTCTCTAGTAGAGTTACTGCCAACACCAACCAGCTCGAACTAATTTTATGGCAGTTTGCCTTGCTTATTATTATTACTAATAAGACTAACTAGTATTAGGACGTGTTAGGTAAGTACAAGACAAAGATATTCAAAAAGGGATGGCAAGGACACAGTTCAAGCACGGTTTGCAGATTAGACGTTATAATAACTCAATTTCGGTTTTAAACGTAAATATATTTGTTTCACAATTCAAAGTCAACATCGGACGAAACGTTTTCTATTCTGACTGTGTCTATTAGGCGACAATTTAAACGTTTAAAACCACTATAAAAATAGGTTTATTAATGAATTTCATAAATCCGACTAGCACATTTTGTTCTGTTAGGGCTTTTCCACACAAATAGGTGCCAGCTTGTTTTCGTAATTAATTTACAAATATCATCTAGGTTCGTTATTAGAGTAGAGCACATCACATGATGAGGAGCAAGAACGTGAACCAGATAATATAACACATCAACATTTATCTATGATGAGAAAAGTAATATGATGAGTAAACGATATGTAAAGCCCATTGACGTCATTGTCTAAAGAACTAACCACAGTTTAAATTCAAAGCGTGTTCAAAGTTCAATTTCGCTGGACTAATTTTTATAATTAATTGGCGTGTTTAATTAGAAACACAATCAATACATATAGTAGAGTGGCGTGACAACGAATTTCTTGCTAACTTGCACTTACAATATTTCATAATTTAAAGAAATGTTATAGTAGGTATTGGCGCTTATACCCTATTATTATGTAAAAGTGTCTATTTTAATGGGTAGGTTTAGCATGGCGAAATCCGAAACCTTCGAAGATACAAGGAAACTGTCTTAACCATTAAGTCTTTTTTTGTGAATGCAATTTTGGCATAGTCAATTTTTTTGGTGCAGTGTGGGTTGTCCATAAAAATGTTAAATCCAAAATATAATAATTTTTTATTGTGCTGATTGACTCAGTTTCATGAAGGGATCATTGCATTGTATGGTTCGAAAATCGGGACAGCAGAAGTTCGTCAAATTGAATAAAATGATTTTAAATACAAAATGAATAAAATTTGCACACTTTTTGAATGCTAATATACTCAGTTTCTTATAAGGATGATTTCATTGCATTGGAAGAAAAAATGGGACAGTAGAAGTTGGTCAAATTTAATTTAAAAAATTATCATAACAAATGACATATTATATACAATAACATTTTATAAATTTGACCGAATTCTGCTGTGCCGATTTTTTTCGTCTTATACAATGAAATCATCTTCATAAGAAGCTGAGTATATCAGCATTAAAAAAATTAGCCAATTTTATTCATTTTATAATGATTTTATATGAAACACTGTATATAAAGCTTCGACTCACTGATAGAAATAGAACACGTACTTCCCGATATGGTGGCAAAAAAATTATACCGTTGTACGCAGATAGGTTCCAAAGCAAAGGGAAAAATACGAGATCACCTGAATGTAGAAAATATAAATGAATGACCAACCGTGTACAAAAACTATAATATTTTTTTTCGCAATTTTTTAATAAGCTACCATATAAACTTTTTGGCGGCAGATATAATTTGCTCTAATTCGGCTTAAAATAGGCATGTCTTTTTTCGAATTAATTAGCGTTTGAAAAACTTGCTTCGCTCGGGCTGAAAATTGGCACGAAACGATTTCTAGAATTGTCTGATAATAATTCGTGGTCAAAATATATTTTTGCAATTTTTAAACATGGACGCCATTAAAGAGCTACTTTCATTTTTTTTTAATAAAGTCATACCTCCCGAGGCCGTAGGCCGAGGACCAGCGGAGGTCGAAGACCGAAGCCTCCGCACGCCACAGTCCGTAGACAGTATTCGGAGGCTCTATTACGAGTACCAGATCTCACAATCGTTAAAAATGTAAGGCGGTACTTCCCGATGGAGTGGAAATGAGATACTTATATCTCAACCGTCTCTCTGCTAGATTCCTTTTTTTTAGAAGGTATTTCATAGACAAGTATTTTAGGGGGAAAAAATGCTACACACCAAAATTATGGTCTCACATTAGGCAATTTTCTGTACTATGAATACCAGAATAACTATAACTCCGAGGTCAACCCAAAATACCCAGACCAGAACCAACTTAGAAAATGTTCGTTTCCTAAATTGGCCCAAATCGCGGATCGAACCCGGAACCTCATCTAACGCCCATAACAGTAACCGCTGTGCCACCGAAGAGCATAATCACACCCCGTAATCTAAACCCGATCACACGGCGCAGGTGGGGTACAGGGCTCGTGTTATATGTAATTTTTATGTTTAGAACTTGTAAAATAACATAACATAAATTGACATACACGTCATACGCTTAGCGTATGTGTCGTGGTCAGCGATCACGCCACACATTGCTTGGCAGATAGCCCAGAGTATTGATTAATTCGGCTTTACTTGCACATAACAAAGAATGTAGTGGTCAACAAATTATAAATATGTGTACCTGTTATTGTTTACCCTGTCAATTAAAAACTCATTCAGTTTGGATTGCTAATGACCTGACCCTGTGCCATATTGCATTAGTAGCAATATATGTAGGTAAGTGGGACAAAGTTGTGTTTAGTTAACATGATTACAGTACACCATTCCATGAAACTATGTAGCATTGTATAAGAATGGAGCAATGAACTTTAAATAGGTACAGCTTGTACTTCTCCCAAACAGATTTTGCATTAAGAAATGTTTTATTGAATTTATCTATAGCTCCATAGCATCCTCTCAGACGAATTTGCTTATTATGTGTTTAAAAGTTTTTTTTTAATTAATCATTGTGTTTAAAAAAGTTTAATTTGTATAAGTAAACATTTTATTTTGTTTTTTTTTATAGGTATGAAATAATGAAGATTTGAATAATTTAATTTATTGGCTTTATAGAAATTTAACCGTTCCGTTTCTTTTTCTAGTGGCTGTTTTTAATAAATGAATTGACTATTTAAAAATTGGGTACAGAAATCATTTATTAATTAAATTAATTTAATTACTCTTAAAGAGAACCCATACCTACAAAATCTTTATCATTTATTTAATAAGTTGCCAGGCTTGTACAAACACATAAATAGTGAAGTGGTTCATGGTTCAAGTCACAAAATCTTCCATGAAAGCCACATTGCGAACGGTACTCAAACAGATACATTATCATAATATCTAAGATAAGATATTTAAGAACAAGCAAATTTCGCAATTTGCTTGCTGTTGCACATTCTGTTCAAGAATTTCTTTATGGCTATACCTTAGATGCTAACTTTTCACATTTCAAGAATAATTGCAACAATAGAAAAATATTCCAAGTACTATTAATTTTTCTAACCCTTTCTTCAAATTATGTTTCAAAGCAGTGTTTAAAACTATCAACATAATAATTTTTTTTGGATAAATTATCCATGAAGATTTTTAGTTTTGTCTCGCTAAAATTATGAGTACAAATTAAATAACTTAGTAAAAAATTACATTAATTTTTTATTTGAAAATTACATAGTAATCAAAATCAAAGTTTTCATCAAACTCAATGAAAAATATTTGGAAAACATTGATGTTGTATAAGTCTTTCTTTTTAACATAGCCATGTGACATATCTCAAAACAGAAAATCATATTTGATTTGGGAGTTTTGTTTTCCCAATTTATCACATTTGAATTACTAAAATCTCCACAGGGTCAACATAAGGAAAAGTGATCTAAGATTTCATGCCAACATCAAAATTCCACCATGGAAAAATAGAACTTCACACAACAAAAAAGTATACATTGTGTAAATATATCCATGAAATAAAACTTTATGTTACAGTTTGTGATTGTACCAAAATTTTAAGAAACATTATTTTAAATTAAATATTTTTTTCATGCAGGATTATTTAATGTTGTAAATTTGGTATCAAAGCATTTGGTCTTTCTCATTGTGGTCTTATAGTAAGAATTAAGTAAAACAGTCTCTAACAATTCTTATTATGTACGTTTGTAAAATTTTACATATCAATACAATCTCAGGTAGATTTTCACATGTGGTAAAATATTACCTGACCTTCATTTACCAATATAATATCCCTACTATTCCATGAAAATTGGACACAAACAACCTCAAGAATATTATTTTCTAAATTTGAATCCATGTGGTGTATGTACTATTTTTATAAGATTAGGACTTACAGATCCTTCAGGTTGGAGGGTGAGCACTGTTTTACTGCTAGAGGCGCAGTCGTCGACGGCTCCGTTCTGCCCGTCGCCCGCCGAGATCTCGGCAATAACACTCATTTCTTCTTCGCTTCCTTGTCTGCACCGCTTGCGAGACATTATCACATGTCCCGCTGGCTTCGCGGTCTTCTAGAAATTGTCTCGCGGAAATCCGATAGTCACCAATGCGATGAGTAGATATTAAAGTGTGGTTTCAGTCCAGGAACATTCTTGTTATGGTTCAGTTGTTTCAGTCGATAAAATGTGGAAATTATTATGACATATTCTACTAGACTCGACGTTCAGTTTTGGTAACCCTCTCTAAGGAAGGCAGAAAAGTTCAAGTTGAATGAACAATTATATAAACTATATGAAAGTTTGATTACAATAACTTGTATTTTGGAAGAAAATGTATGTAAGGATCCAAAGCGCCTGAATAATACTGGCAACAGGGTTTTCAACTTCAACCAGAAATATTCACAAAACAGATGAATTGAGGAGCGTTTTCACAAAATGATACATCTTAAAATAGTATTTTTTTCAATAAATGAATTTATTTATTTATTTAGCTTCGGTTGGGTGAATTAAATGAAAATGCAAATTAATTTGGTAGGTATTTTACTAACACATTATTATTTTATAAAAAAAACAATAGTAATAAAAAATCAACTGAAATAATGAGATCACAAAACTACGAGTTTTTTCAACTTTGATACATCAATCATTGATGTCTCGCTTTAATAAAACTCCGATAATATTAATTGAATTTGAATATTAAATTACTGGTTCTTCATCATCGTAGTTTCGTCGAATGTTATCGTCATCGGGACCAGAACCCTGGAGCACATCTGCATAAAAGGCCTGAGCATCAAGGTCATCAGAAATATCGCAAAATTTAAGTAGATTTTCAACGTCTGCTCTCTTTTTTGTTGACACCATGTTGGTTTTAGGTAACTGAACACAATCAAATCGCAGAAATGATTTTACGCCTTTCTTCTTTATTTCTACAGTTCCTGGCGCAGCACAATATGTGTTTTGAACACTAACTTCAATATTTTTTAAAGTACGGGATGCAACTGTAGTAATGTGTATTATTCGTGTTTGAGATATTTTAAATGGCAGTTTTGCCTTTATGATTTCTTTGGCCTTCGCTTTCATGTCATAAGTAAACCAATCTTTACCCCATTCGTTGACTTGGCCATGATTATTTAAAATTGCATAATATTCTTTTGGTGACACAATGACTTCACGTCTTCTGTAGTCCTTCTCAACCCTACCAAATACTCTGTCTGGAGGCATAAAGCTGTGGCCTCGAATAGGAAAAATGTAGCTTAGCTTATTAAAAACTTTACTAGTAGCCATGAAATTTGCCAACATGGTTAACATAATGAAATTTTTATTTTGACTGCTACAAGAATCGGAATACAGTTCAAGCTTCAAATTCTTTTTCTTATCCCTAAAACATACTTCTTCTATCTTTTTCAAATAATGTTTAAGTGCCGATGCTATCTCATTAGCTCCTCGGCCACTCTGGTTTTCTAACCAAACATAAAACTGTATATCGTCTGTCGGTTCGAATGATGTATCGTTTTGAAAAAATACGCTCCATGTAGATGTATCACTTTGAAAAATCTCGTGAACTTTGCTGTATTTTTTAAAAGGTTTATAAGTCGTTTTCAGAAAATTCGTTAATACCGTCATGTTCGGCTATGAATACAATACACGAAACGCCAAAAAAAGTAAAATAGAATTTTTGTTTGTTGTATCGCTTTGTGAAAACGCTCCTCAATTCGGCGTGATGAGTCAATTTGGTTATTACGCGAGTTGACGTCCTTGACGTTTTCGTTAATTTTTTCTCATGTTAATGGCTTTGCCTTCGTAGCATTTAGCCAATAAAAGGGTTGGGGAAAGCTGGGGAAAGCAGAATTATATTATACTAGATGTCACCAAACAAGAGGCCAAAGACAGCTAAAGAAGGCGATAGTACGTAACTTTGAATGCGATCAACGAAACAATAATCAAACAATTATTTGCATAATTCAATTTTTTTAAATACGTAAATTTTATTGTAACATTATGTAATATGACAAAACATATTTGAAGTACTGTTTTCGCACGAATTCCAAAATAAAATGCAATTTTGAGTTACCCCGAAACGTCCCGTCCTTAAGCTATTATTTATTTTTAAATAGTGTTTTTTTATTAGTCGCCGAATTTCACCGAGTCACTTCGATGTGTCGGAAAAAATATTTTAAAATAGTTACAAAAAAAAATTAACTTTATTTGAGATTGTTTGTTGTTGACATTGACATCTTATAACTTATTGTCAGACGAATAATTGAAAATTTATTAAATCCTTGGTTTCTTGGTATTTTAATCTTTTTATGTAGTTGTTTTATCGATGAACATTAATTAATTACTGTAAGTCAATGTTTACAGTAAATTCTCGTAATAAACCATTTATGAATATTACAAAATCAAAAGAATTGGATACAATTCATCGGAATGTGGGACAATTTTACGAAAATAAGAGGAATTGCTACAGAATTGCAAGAAATTCTGTAAATGAATTGCTTTTAACAGAATTGCACGATTTGGCCTTTTAGGCCCCCTGAACAACAGTGAACCGAAAAATAATCTAAACAATCAGAAGCGCTTAAAATTTTGAATCGATTTCTTGTGAAAATCGTATAATGTGATTAGCGATATGATTCGTCCACATCCCTATTCGCGTCACGATGACAAGTTTCAAATTTGGCCTCTTATTTGGTGACGACTATACAGATTATGGAAGAGGTACAAATTTGAATGAAAAAGGATAATGTAGGTTGGGTTGATGGGTAGCTATTATATAATGGCATACATATTAAAGCTTGATATTGACATTATATAAACATCTTTGTTACATAAATACAATAAACTTGATAAGGACGTGGGGAATGGGACACTGATTGCCAGAAGTTTGGGTATGAAGTATCGTGGTCAATTGAGGGGCAGGAGAAGAAGATATACGTTTTGTAAGCGGACTTCCGAAGCGAAAACGGTCCATCAACCTCTGAAACGTCGACGGCGCATTTTCAAGTCCGACAGACATGCGAGTGAACCACAGACATATAGATAGACGCCGCAAGTACAGCAATTTGTATGAAAACCAAGCGTGCCACATTTTTTGGAGCCACTATGACGTCACAAAAATTATTTAGTGATGGAAACCTTCCGCTCGCTCTAAATCGATTGATTGAACGGAATACGCGTATATCGATTCTAAATAGAATTTTTGTTCAAGTATTTGTTGATTACAAGTACCTAGTCATAATATTCTTATATAGTAGAAAAATACTAGAATACGTTAGTTAAATCCTTTATTTTTCTTATTTCTAAAAAATGTTGATTACTTAAAAAAGTTAAGACCTTAATTTTTAATCGACTTCAGATATTACAATTATTGTCCTTCCAATACAATGAGTTTATTAGACAACATCTTTTTGTAACAGATCTTATCGATTAACTTAAATAATGAAAACGCACGTCAATATATGAACTGCGACTGCCTTAATTAATTTTACTAGATGGTTTTCTGCAGTGTTGGGCGTTAATCAATTAAATTTCAATCAGACTAAAAATCAATTCAATTGAAATTTATCGCGATTAACAATTAATTAATTGTTGATTCCGGTTCTCGCAACTAACAATTAATCAATCAGTAATCTCGTATGCCTACAATTAATCAATTGTTAATTGCTGTTTCGCAATTGACAATTAATTAATTGTCAATCTTTTATTGCCCGAATAATCGAATTTTTCCCAACACTGGTTTTCTGTTGGTAATTGATCAAATTGATGAATGGCAAGACAAATGAAAATGTTATTATGTTGCTGACAAAATATGGTAAAATCTTATTAATCAGAAGAGGTTTACTTAATGACGGCCTCCTGTTAAATTTTTGTGATTTGTTTATTATTTCTCGGATTTCTAACTCTGCTACTCTGCATATTTGGATAGCATCTTAGGTGGGATAAACTAGACCATCTTCGTCCTCCAAAGCAACGAACTCATACACATGACCAACTTCAGATTTTTGTAAAGACAGCGCACTGTTAGTTCTTTGCATTGTAGGCATTGACTTACAAATAAATGGACGACGGGTCTAATACAAAAACCACGAAAAAAATGTCCCAAGTCAACCTATTTAAACGTAGTGATATGTAAAGGAATATGAAAAAGCTAAAACGTTGAATTTAAATTGTAATGTCATCGCAGTACTGTCTAATTTTGCTTGCTTCGCTGTCAGTCGAACAAACGAAGACTAAAGCGTGAATGACGCTCTGTATACGATTTTAACGCCCTATAAGTTCGGACACTTTTTAGCGCGGACCCGACGTCCATATAATTGTAAGTCAATGATTGTAGGTATATTTTTTGTATTACTCGTACTACATATCCGGCGATGTATGTAATTATTTGCTCACTATATTCGGATATTCCAGGCAACGTGTTGCAAAAATTCTACTGATAATAGATACTACAAAACTGAAAAAAAAAACGAAACTTTACCAAACGTTAGAACAACAGAGTTATAGAATATTTTTATAATATTGCTAAGGGCATAATAATTTTCGTCCCTTTGTTTTCAAAATCGATCCGAATCGAGAACAATGTTGCCTAACGTATACATCACTAAAGGTTAAATTTGGCCAAAAAATGTACAAGCGGCCGTACCACGATATTCATGGCGTATTAACAAAGGATCACAAATATATCGCACCAAGTAAAAGCCGCACTGTATTACAAATAATGAGGCATACACTCGGTTGCGTATTTATTTTCTCGAAATTCATACGAAACCAAAATAATTGTTTTGAAAATAAATTATGCATCTTCTGATTACTAAATCACTTGTCCGTGGAAGGAAACGTTCCTGTTTACCAATGTACCCACAGTTATGGTGGTTTTGCAGTTTATAATGGCACAATTATGCATTTTTCGCGTGTTCGACTGGCGTTTTTATCTACGATAACGGTCGAGCGTGTTCAACAAATTAGAAAGATATAGTATAGCTTCAGTGCTAGAACAAGCCACATTGTTGTTGTTTGTGACTGTACCAATTTACAATGCAAAAGCCGAACCTACTCTGAAACCTTGAATATGACTTTCGATCAGTCGTATCCCCATAACTGAGATTTCAACTTTACTACTATACCTCTACTAAAATTGAGTCCGTAGCTAGTTGGAACTGAGCAACTTATATAGCATATTATTTTTGGTGTTCATTTGAACTAAATATGAAGAAGTCATCATCATAAAGTGCTATGATGGCCTTGTGTAGATACATTTTTCAGTCTTTAATTGAGTATAGCCATTGGTAATTAAAACTTTATGCACTTTTCATTCCAGATTCTACTGGCTTGTTTGAGTCCATATAAACTCTTCTTGAGTAGACAAACTTTGCCCCTCAATCTCAAATTTAGTAGGTTGCTCCATGCAAATG